TAGTATTCGGGGTCACTGTCATTTTCCGCGCTCGACATTGACAATCCTCCATTGATATTCGACCGACAACCGACACGAAACGTTCTTTCCTTCCTTTGCAATTACATTAAACACGCGTTTTATTTTCTCAAAACGTAATAATTGTTTTCCGCCTGATATTTACCATCTTTACCTATCAAAATTTTTCCTAGTATCTCTGATAATATTCAAGATAGAATCAAAGAAGCATTACTTGTATTTATCTTCTTTACGAGTCTGTAAAATTTAAACCAGCTTCGAATGTTTCTTGCAAGCTGAAATTATCTGAATTTTACGTGTTTTTTCAAGAATCATCGATGAACCAATATTTCCGGCATTTCGTCTAGGGCTCTTCGCGATCATTAACCGTTTGGTTCGTCGCAATAAAATCTGTGACGGTTTCTCCGTGGCTCGTATGCATAATCGACGCGAATCGCGCGCGCTGTGTCAACGGTGCTCGACGACGCGTAAAATCAGGGGTGGTAATTTGAAATTAACCGAATTAGTATGTTATGGCTTTGTAATTGCGTAACACCAGGCCAGTATTGCGCGCGAGCGCGCGAACTCGATGAAAGAAAGTGTTTGTGAAGTCGTTTGCGCGGCGTATTGTCACCGTTGGGAACGCGTGTGTTCGAAATTTACGCGGCCACTTCATTGCGGGCACCGCAATAAATTTAATTATTTCAGTAACCTCGTTTATCTTTCATTTTAATTTCCACAGCTGTTCTAGCGTTTGAATTTTTTAGCCGAACTCGTATTACACGCGCACAAACAATTGTCTGGTCAACAACGCATACATGACGCTGCTTTTATTATTTCCGATCATATTGTGGATACTTAAACGTTTCACGTTTCTTCCGAAACACTCAGGTTCACGATTTTTTACACCGTGCGTGTATTTTCATTCTCTGATAAAAACGTTTATTAGGTTCCTTTTACTCGGTGCTAATCATTGAAACGCTCTCTTGGCTTTTAATAGCTCTAATTTCGAGTGGCGTCGTTCTTTATTACCTGTACGATTTTTTAATATTGAACACTGGTCGATATCTTTTTGTAGTACAAACCAGTTCGAAATTATTTACTGTATAAATAATATAGTTTATTGTTATTGATTCAATACAGAATCGAAAGCTCAAATTTTGTGCAACGAATCCATTTATTTTCATAGAAAGTTCGCACCTGTAACTTTTTTAAATCGTGGATTATTTCAGCCAACGAATAAGAATTGTTTCGAAATAATTTATAAGATATCGATAAACTTATTATCGAGTTAAGGAGTTTGTACTAAACCTGGCAATAACAAAGGTTATCGAGCTTGTCAAAGACTCGCACGTCGATCTGCGAATCTCCAGGATAGAACTCTTAACGAGAGTTTGAGAAATGTTACATACGTCGAGGTCAATCGAGGGTGAAGCGTTTCATCTTAAGCAGATGTCGATGTGGGACACAAAGTTGTTACGCTAATCCTTCGATTCTAGAAACTTCCTGTGACTAATTGCAGGTTTCTGGAGAACTTCCATCATGGGTATTGCCAAGTGCAACCCGGTCTGTGAATTCTCGATAAAATGATCATTTTTGTTCCACGTATTGAACCGAGTTAAGTTACTCGATCAAAGTCTACCTTCAAGTTCTTACTAATTTTGGACTCAAAAGTATTATGTTTCCTTGACAAAATACCTGTAAAGTATACATCTTAGTAACGAGTTACGCGTTTACTAACTTTGAACTTTGTTACTACCCTATAAATAATTAAAAGATTTATTTCGATAAGGTAAGGACCGAATTACCCTAATTATGCGATAATTATTGTTACTACTGTAATCTGAAATGTTCCAGAAGTCGGTTGTATGTACGAGATATACAACGTAAAATATCAAAGAAAATAAATCTGAATGGGAGAAAGATAAATAGTACAAAAAATTTTAAATCGAATAGTTTCCAATTGCCAAAGAAAATGACTTTTGTAGCGAATTCCGGTATTTTGACGAACTACAAGAAATATATTAAGCGTGGTAGAAATCTGTCCAGGAGCGTATAAATTGCAGCGACTTTGCAGCTCGCGGAGCGAATTGTAAATCAACGAGCGAGAATCTGCAAAAATGAAACGGCAGCCCGGGGGATTTAATGTATTCGGTGTTTCGAGCTGAAGTAGGCAAACGAGCGCCCGATGTTCCGCGACCACCGACGCCTTCGACGCGTTCCGCGCAAACGAGAAACCGCGCGATAATTGAAGCACAAAGATCCCTCCGACACCTTGTCCTTTAATCAGAGACGCTCAAAAGAATCCCTGGCCCTTCACGAGGCGCGTTCAAATTCACAAAACCGATTCGTATTCCCGGGCGAGGAGAAAGAGGGGGACGCCCGCGCCGCCCCCGACACCCGAGATCCTCGGCGACACTGGCTTCTCAGCTGAGGCGCGGAACCGTTCCCGGTTCGCCTTTGATCTCGAACAATCGGCAAAGCGTCGATGATCGAGCTTCCTTCGAAGGCGTGGAATTCGGCGCCCGACGAGTGACCACTCGTGGAGTCGCGACAAGTGTCTTGGCCAAAGCAAAGGGAAACACTCTTTCCGCGTCGTTTGGTCGTTTCAGCAGGTGATCGCCGAGCGACGAGGGGGCACACCGGTGGTCCCGGGTTGCGGGAAAACCGAGCCACCGGGAAGACAGAGGAGGCCGGAGGAGGGTGAAACGGACGAGAGGAAAGAGAAAGGGAGAACACGGGGTGGAAAACAATTAAGGGAAGGCGAGGAGAGGGCCGCCTTGTATGATAATGCGCTGTAACCTCCGGCAGAGGAAAACGATACGCTGAAGGAGGAGGTGGAGACGACGACGGAGGTGGAGGAGCAGGTTGTCGAGGATGAGGCCGGATGAAGCGCGGAATGGAGGGGCAGCCGCGAGAACGGGGTTGGCGGAGGTCGTGGTTCTTACTTTGCATTCCTTTGTGTGTCCTCCTGAGCCCTCCATCCACCCTCCTACAACTCGGTCGTCCTCCTTCCTCTTCGAGCTTGAACTAACGCCCGAGGTTTTAATGCACTTGTCTACTCCACATACCGTTCATAAAGACATATATGCCGTCTGTTGAACGAGTGGGCAGGAGAACTGATTCTTGGAAAGAGAAGCGAGACAGAGGGACGGCACAAGGGTGCAAGGTGGGCGTGGGGAGGGGGGCACGAGGGGGGAAAGTGGAGAAAAGGGGAGACGCGGCTCGCGAAGAAGAGAGAGACGGTGCCCGGCAAAAGAAGAGCCGCGGAACAGAGAACGGGTGAGCGTAACGATATGAAATGCATTTTAAATTCTAAGCATTCGCTCGCGTCATGGAAAGACCTCGGCTCTTTGCTCGCATAATCCTGCTGGTGATGTACAAAAGTCAAAAAAGAACGGCTGAGAGCCGGGGAAGAATTAAAGTGCACTGGTCGAATCAGACCTTTGCCGGATGCCTCGCGGTCTAGGGGCAAGGAACTCTTGTCCAGCGTCGTCTTCAATGACTCCGGAAACTCGCGTCGGTTTCCGTACGTCGAACACTTCGATCATACGCGCCAAATATATACGTTTTTCCCCCCATACACGTTTCTCGATAACTAGAACGAGTAGAGGCCTTTATGTTGGATCGTCCCCTTAGTTCGTGCCGTTCAGCATTCTTAAATTGACGATAAAATTAACGTAATTTAGTAGAAAGCAAACGAAATTTGTTAGTTCAGAGGATTTCCGAAATTTTAAACATCAACGATTATAGATATTGTGTCAAAGCTCGAACTATATAAGTATAATAAAACCGATTCTTCCCTAAACCACTTAGTAACTGAAGGGTTATTAGTGGGTAAACAATTTGAAAATGTCTAAAGATGCTTTGAAACGACCATATTATGGTTTTGCCAATGGAAGAGGAGGGAGTTGTCAAACGAGAATGAGATTTTCATAAAATCCATGATATCTTTGAAATATTACTTTAAGCTTTAATACTAAACTCGACACGAACAGATGGGACGATCTGACTCTAGAAATGGGCCTTTTGAGGTATCTCGTACAGCCGTTTTGTTTCTAATTTATTTATTTACGAATCAGAATCCCCTTGTACACAAATAACACATATAAACAAAACTATAAAAAGATATTTATAAAAATCTTGTAAACTTCAGTGATCCTTCGTTAAAGTTCGTTAGCTCGGATCCATGACACGACCGTTTTTGAGGGAGATATACTATTCTGGGAATTGCTAATTGTTATCTGTGTTAGGCAAAAGTGAAAAACACTGATAATGAGTGGAATAGATAGAAATGTTCAACGTTTGCTTATTCTACAGATTCTAAATTCGTTCAGAAATCAAAGCACATACATATGTAACTTTTCCTTATAATTAATTTAGGTATAATTATTGTACTTTACTATTGTATTTTACTTTAAATTGTATTAATGAATCATGTTGATTCCTATTATAGGAGTTCCTAAATGACTAGCAGCTAGACGAAAAAATTTACGTTGGACTACTCCCAACACGTGTGATTGATCTTGATAATAAAGCGACCAAATCAGTAATGCATATTCCAATTTGGAACGCATTAAAGCACAATACCTATATTTTGCGAGCCTATTAATAACCAAGGGTTCTAAAGGCTGCACTACTTGCGTGTACAATGCGTTTCTTAAAAGAAACAAGTAGGAGTTGAACATCCACGACAGACAGCGCGGAACTTCAATGTCTGTCTGAACGTTTACGAGTATAACGCAAAAGGAACAGAGGAGACAAACGTATTGAAACATCCAGGCAACTGTAAACGACGAATTCCTTTGTACGCGTTAAGCATACTTCGTGTGCGTGTAATGCGATACATATTTCATCGAATATAAATACTGGCTCCCTCGTTTCTTCTCAGTCGTCGTGATCGATATGCATTCGAGCCATTCACGTTTTAAAAAGCAAGTAACGAATATCGCTGAAAGTCACCGTTTCGAATAATTTTGCTGATTAATTATAGTTCGACTTACCTTTTGTGTCCCGGTATCCGCGCATCAACCAGCTCTCTGCTACGGCGTCATTCGTCAATCTAGAAAACACGGAAACAGTGTTTCATCCTTCTGATACCAGTGGCACGAGTTTCGACATAGTTTACGTGATACTCATTTTTGATGTGTGTCTTATTCGACTCTAACCGAGCGTATCAAGTTTATCGAAAGTACGAACAAGACGAAAATAAAGTGCACAGAGCTCGTCGAGTTGAAAATTAAAAAGTTCGTTCTTCTCGTTTGCGACGTTAATTTTCTCAAAAAAAGAATGAATTCGTTTTTGTTACTATTAGTCTTGATTAAGAAATGAATGAAACATTTAATGATGCCCAAATTTTTATTTGGGGATATCTAACATTTTTACTTTAAATAAAAAAATATGCATTATATGAGTCAAACATTTTGGACACGAGAAATTGACAATTAACGTATAATGATTTGGTGTGCACTTCCTTGAACTTGATACGCTATCGTTTACACCATAATTTAGCAACAGATCGAGTGGTTCGTACACGTATCAAAAGCTCGTCGTAAACTAGCTTTTTATTTTCTCGCGTCGAGTTCGAAATCCGTTTAACGTTTAATGCCGCGCGAACAAGGTCAAGAGCAACGGCATCGAAATTTATAATAATTTTCGATTTTATCGCGGCGTATATTTCACCGGCGTACATAAATTAATTTCGACGCTTGAGCACGGTAGTTTTAATTAATTTCGAATAATTTCTATTAAATCTTGTCACCTTCGACGCGCCGGGTATTATGCAATCCGCGGGCAGCGTTCCGGCGTTCATTTCGTTAAAATCCGCAAATATTTATATAAAATAATAACAAAACGCTGAATGGACAGACGGGCGGGCAATGACGCGATAAATCGGGGCTGATTATCTGGCGTTAATTACCAATTAAACGCAACGTTTCGTTGCTCGTTTCGAGGATAACCGATACGCGCTCCGCGCCACTCGAACACTTATCCGGGAAGAAGAAGAAGGGACAAACCGAGCGAGTAGTTTTTTTCTTCTTTCTTTTTTTTTAAAAAGACCGTCTCACGTTCGACGGATACAATGGGAAGGTAGGGGTCGGACCGTGGATGTACGAACTGGTACACGTCGATTCAGAGGAGAGACGTCGCACACGAGAGAGAAAACCGGAGGAAATCCTTTTCATTCGCGGAAAAGAAAGCGGGCGCGAGATTCGCGCTTCATTCATGGCCAAGTCTATGGGGCGAAAAGAGACTTCTCCTTCGAAATGTAATTAGCATGTCTTCGCACAACGGGCCAGACAATGCTGTCGTTTAATTAGTATGCGTCTCCGTGCCGGGTACGTTCCTTTAAACCACCCACACCCTGCGTGATCCAGTGTCCCTCGTCCGCCCCCGCGCGTACACGACAAACACACGTGTCGGTACGCGCACACCCTCCACGAGAAATGCACCAACGAACCGTGCACGTGTGTGTGCGTTTATGTGTTGACGCATCCCGCGTTACTGCACGCCGCACGAGTGTCAATACGTGCATCCATGGACGGAGAGCGCGCGCGTGGTCGCGTCGCTCTTATTTGTTGTCGGGAGACTTTAAAGCGATTTACGCGCGATAAGCAATCAGAGAAAGCGAATGGCATCTTCTCGCTTCGGCTGGATTGTTTCAATTTTAATTTACGGACCACCCGCTTGGACTTGCCACGGTTTCCCACACGGAAGGTAATTCGTTTTAACAAAATGGAATCTGATCGACGCTTGTCACCAGTGTGAAACACTATACATTATAATATATTCAATAAACAATTTACTGAATCTTTTAACTGCTACGTCTGTGTTAAAAATTGAAGTAATTATTCCCCACTGCACGAAGACACCGCATTTCAACGAGATATTCCCAGTTTACTAATTTACATAACTTTTTTCGAGTTGAGAATTTAAATAATAATTCTGCAATGCATCAAGACACTTAAAAATATTATTAAAGAAAACTTTGTACCCGAGTATATAGAGTTACTTGAATTTTGTTCATATTTTTATTTACTTGTGGGAATATTTCATCACAGAGTTTTTTTTACTAAGGAGTGAACGATATTAATTTTCAATATGAATAGGATACGCGAATTTCCACGAGGCTACAAAAATAAATGTTAAGACAAATTTTAGATTATCTAATTTTCAATTGTCTAAAAACAACACTTTGACTTCGTACAAAAATTACGGGTATTGGCAAAGGTAAATGCTACCATTTAAATCTGACATCGTCATGTATTTTACAAACTATATTAATTCAGGCTTATTCCCACCTTTTAAGTATTATTTCCATTCTAAGATGGACGTTCTAGTCTATAGTTTCATTGTTTTGGTTTTTTTAGAGATTTGTTTCCAAAACAGTTTAAGTTTTGTATACATATTTATTTATGTTTTACAAATGTTCACAATTTGAAAATGTGAGAGGAATAGTAAAATTTACAAATTGGTGGTACTTTGAGTTTTGAATATCGATTTTCTTGACTTCTTTTCATGTTTAGCAAGTTAAAAAAACAATAAGGAAAATTCTTTTTTTAATAACTTTGGTTCACACCACTATCACAATCATACTAATCAAGAATCTTTTCGATTTCTTCATTTCAGATAAGCAGAATGATCGGAATCGTATCAGCCAGGACACTTTTTATAATTCAGTCAGGTTTGATTATTTTCACTTGAAAAAAATGTCGAAACTAAGAAATTTATACTTTTTTTTTGGAAAAGATCCCTAAAAAGACCAAAAAAATGATACTCTAGACTAGAATACCCTCTTAATAATGTAATATTTGTATTTAGGAAAATCAATTTTTAAAAACTGATATGCTTGATTAACATAGATCAGTTTCATTTAGAACTTAATTTCCACGTAAATGAGACCACCTAAATGCTTCTGCTGTTTACGAATATATGAAATTACTGTTCTATAGAACAATTCCGGGGATAGCAATATGTACATAGTCTTTTCCGCGAACTAATTTCTTGGAGGCTTCAAGGTTAGATAACCAGAAAATAGTGAAGATCGCTTGATAAAACTGATAACAAATTACCGGTAAATTACTAAGGAAATGACAGCGAATACATAATTGACTAATGAAAGTAAGAAATTTTATAATGAAATTGCATGTACACTTTTGGACGAACCAAACAGACAATTGCTTTTATCAAACAATTATTTTGACAATAATTCTTTGCTAAAACTAATTATATTTGCTCTAGTCTTATCAAGTGAATTAACTCTAATAATGCTTTCAATCATCTTTTCGAGGTTCTCTTCAGTCAACAATACAATACAATCGATCTCGAAATAAAATTTTTCATGAAATTTAACCATCATAATAAGATACTAAATTTCTATAACATTTTATAATATTTGCAAAGAGGTGGTCGAAATAACAAAATAAATTTTCTCGATACGACTTAAGTCGTGAGCCTACTCTTACAAAAATTATTAACACTGCAACTACCAAAGTGGTAAAAATGACCCATTCGTAATTTCTAATCAAAATTGTAAAAAATATACTAGACTGAATTTTTGAAAACTGTAATTTTCTAGAGAATAAATAAAGACTTATTTTCATTGCATTATACATTTCTTTACGTATCTATCGTTTTCATTTCTTTGGTACAAATAAACACACTATAATTGTCGGTAGTTCTAGTGTTAATGCAAGTACTAAGTATGTAAATAAAATTTAGCTTATGCATTATTATAATATAAACCAATGACGAATCAATATAGATGGGGGAAGATATTATCTATCAATGAGTATCCTATCCAATAAACGTCACGAAGCTCTTTATCCGCGTCGAACGTGACCCAACGACGCGCAAGTCCAGTTACAGAGATATTATTATTAACAGGGATCTTGACGTAAGCAGGCTTACGAGTCCACTCGGTCGCGTTATGGCGTCTTTTTTTTTCGTTAGATACGAAGGACGGGCACGTGTTCCCACGCTTCGAAGACTGCACTTTAATGTCAGACACTAGCGAACGCTTGATGCGTGACGTGACTCTGACGCATTAACGCGACACGTCGATTCGCAATTACCGTGCGAGAATCCGTTCGCATCCTCGAGACAATTGCAGGGGCTGACGAAGGACACCAATTGCTGGCGAGCCAACGACAGAAAGCTGCGCGACTTCCGGGACGTTAATATCTGGCGTTAGATCGAGCGGCGTGCACAATCATGCGTGACAAGCAGCGTCGTTATCAAAGGAAAACATAAAAGGCTCTTTAGACAGAGACGGAGACAAAAAGAGAGAGAGAGGGTAGCGAATATTAAGAAAAATATTCAATTCGTAATTTCAGTCCAAGCTTTTCGTTTCTATCTTTCTTTCGAATAGGCGCATTGTTCGAAACGTAAAACGAGCACGAGAGTTTCGCTTTTATTACCATCGTTCTTTCGAAATTAGTTTTGAAACGATTGTCGAGATAATTTAATGGCACTTCACGATATACGCGGGACCGATTAAAAACCGTTTTCAAATTCCTATCGCGTTCCACTCCAGAGTTCCATATAGAATGGCACGGTTCTATTACTATAGTTGCCGTTAATGCACTTTTAGGGCGCAGCGTTTGATCAAACGAATAATATTATTTTTCCATTGGATTTTCCCGGCTTACTTGCGCGATAAAGTAGTTCCCGTAACGTGGAACGGGTGCAATGTCACGGTGCAATCAAACTGGTTTAGACATCCTTCCTCGTAGATAAGACTACCCCTAACATCCTACGATTTATAGTTCTAGTTGGTCTGATAATCGAAAGCTTAAGAGGAAATAAAATGTTCTGCTCCTCGGAGAGGAAACAATCGTTTTTATTATTATTTTTATTTTCGAATTATTTCAATTAGAAAAGATGAAGATGTCGGCCTAGTTATCGAACACACTAAATTAAATAAAAGTCTACCTAATAACCATTTGTTTGCACCGTTTAGTCCGGACAAATAATTAAAGTTAACGTGTATCTAACATTCTAAGTTATATCGTAGACAATCAATCGTCGAAGTGAGATATTTACTGTATTACTTTGTAAAGC